GTTCATGAACAGAGTCTCAAAAGAAGATGGTATTCTGAATACAATTTCCTGACACTATTATCTCCCAAGCTGACACTAATTTCTTCTGGCTGAAGCAGGAAGGCAAGGCTAAGAGGCACATGTGGGGCAGTTTTGGTTCTGATGGGTGTTGAAAAAACAGGAATCTCAAGACTGTTCTAGGCCTTTGTTATGGGGTGGGACCACAACATTAGTAACAAAGAAACAGAATTTCCGGAGGATGAGGCCCAGAAATCAGGATTTTAAAAAGATTCCCAGGTGATTCTAATGTGCAGCCAAGGTGGAGAACCACTGTCCTAGGGGCTTAACTGGAGTCATTGGACAAGCACCAATAAGTCTGGGTTAAGAATGAAAAATCAAGGTTCTGGAGAGAAAGCAGCTGATGGAATATATCCATCCTTGCAAGAAAGGTGATACTTCCCTAATTTCCCATCCTAAGAAGATCTGCAGAGTATTTTTTGCTGGCAGAACTGCAGAGCAGCCACCTACACCAGTCAGTTGTTTAATATTTGTAACTGAAGAGACCTCATGGTGTCACAAAAGAAGGCCAATGACTAATATCCTTCAAGTTTGTTCATTGTTACCAGCCAACAAAAGCAGGTTATATTGGGCCTTTGGTCATCTCTGGTTTAAATTTTCTATTTTTTTTAACCTGAGTACTGAGAATAAATAGAGAAATAAACAAGCCAAAGAAAGTAATTGTGGATCTTAAGGGGACCAAATATCCTAGGAAGGAAGGACAAACAAGATATTAAGGACAGGCTACTTACAGTGCAATAGAAATGTTGCCCACACAAATGACAAATTAACAACACCACATACTAAGAATATTTAATAGTATATAATTAAAACATTACAATTATTTTCTAGATTTAAAAATAATTTCTGTATTTTAATATTTATTAGACTATAAAAGTATAGTCATAGTTGAGAATCAAATTAGTGGCTTAGAATATTAATGGAAAAATTTCAGCTAAAGATAAAATAGTTCAATACTAAAAGAAAAATATAAGGAGAGAGAGATCAAGAAGATCAAATATGGACATATGGATTTCAAGAGAAAAAATATTCTATAATTTGAAGGAAGCCTTGAAGAAAAAATTTGTAATTTGAAGGAAGACTTGAATGGGCAGAACAGGATTGCTGATACCAGTCATAATTAAGGAAGAAAAATAGTCACACACCTAGGTAAACCATGGAAAAAGGTCATGTGCAGCACCCAAATTTAAAAATTATGGAATGTTATTTACTAAGAAAAAAGAACCAAGACCTAAAAATACTATGCTTTGACATGGTATCTGTCTTAGTCAGCTCAGGCTGCCATAACAAAATATCACAGACTAGGTGTCTTAAAAAACAAGTTAAGACTGTCCTACTGGTTCAGTGGTTGGACATCAACCTATAAACCAGGAGGTCACAGTCCACTTCCTCATCAGGGCACATGCCTGGGTTGTCGGCTTCATCCCCAGGATGGGTTATGCAGGAGGCAGCTGATGGATGATTCTCTCTCTCTCTCTCTCTCTCTCTCTCTCTCTCTCTCTAAAATCAAGAAACAACATTATATATATATTTCTTAAAAATGTTAATTTTCTCATAGTTCTGGAGGGTAGAACTCCAAGATCAGGGTTCCCACATGGTCAGGTCCTACTAAGGTGTCTCCTCCTGGCTTGTAGGCAGCTGTCATTTTTGTTTTCACATGGCCTTTCCTCTGTGCAAGGCCACTAAATTCTATCAATTTAGGACTCCACACTTACCACTTTACTTAATCCTAATTAACTTCTAAAAGCCCTATCCCATATACAGTCACATTGGGGTAGGGCTTCAACATATGAATTTGATGAATTTGGGGGGATACAATTCAATCCATAGCAGCATCCTTTATCTTTATTCAAAGATTTAGATACCATATCATCAATACCCCCATTGAAAGGAAACATTTGGGAAAGGATTCTAAAAACCATAAATGAAAACCATAAATGAATCAGATGAGTCTATATAATGGAATAAGATGAAAAGGAAAGCAAGGAGTAATCTATATATAAAAAGCCTAAGCTACCGAACGAATGACCAAATGACCAGTTGACCTGGTTGCTATGATGCACACTGACCACCAGGGGACAGACACTCAATGCAGGAGCTGCCCCCTGGTGGTTTGTGTACTCCCACACAGGAGCACTACTCAGCTGAACAACGGGCGCCAGACACAAGGCTATGGCTGGCAAGCACCGTGCAGCGGTGCAAGCCCCTCCCAATCAGGATTGACTGGGCACAAGCCTGTGGCAAGTGCAGCGGGGCTGGGAGGAGCGGGAATTGCAGGCAGGAGCAGCAGTCCGACATCCCCTGAGGGGTTCCAGATGGTGAGAAGGCACAGGCCAGGCTGTGGGACCCACCGGTGCACGAATCCATGCACCAGGCCAGGCCTCTAGTGTGTAATAAATCTTAAACTACATATAATTTAAATATAAATAGATAAAACCATGATTAAGGGTTTGCAAATACAAGCCACACATAAGCTATCATAAGAGAAGAAATACCTTTCAAAGGAAAACCAACTAATAAAAGAACTGAAGTCACAACAAGCTCAACAAAATTCATGTAAGTTTGTACGGGAGAGAAAAGAGGAAAATAAAGACATTTTAAAGATCTAATTTGATGTGTGAGTAGTCTTAAACTTGATAATTTCAAATGTTGTTTGGCTTATTCCATTTTTGTGAACACACTTTGTAAGACCAACACAAGATATAATTTATTATCAATATACAAAATACTATTTACATACCCCATTGCACATAGGCACCACTAGCCTATGCCCTTCACATTACCTCATAGCAGGGCAGAGGAGATTTTGTTCTGTTATAAAGCAGTAGGGGATAATCACCCATGTGTAAACTAGTTCTTTCAGGTTTACCAAACAAAAAATTCCTTCCTGAAAAGAACATTTCTTTTTCTCTTCAATGTTGCCACACCACATATACAAACAACCCCAGGACATTCTAATATTCTAATATTTAATACATATTTGTCCCTCCTTTGTTGAGTAAAATGAGAAAGAAGTTATTACTTCCAGATCCAATGGTACATAGCTATAATTAAATTTAGTACCTCTTCCTCCAAGCAAAGTCCTGTGCTGGCTGACTTAGTAAAATGAGGCACAAGTGTATCTTTTTACTTTAAATTTGAATTACCCAAATTGACTACAAGCTGACCCTTAAACAACATGGGTTTGAACTGCTCAAGTTCACTTATACAAGGATTTTAAACATTTCTAAATCAGCAATAACACTATGCTCATGAGATCGATGATCAGCATTGTTTCAATCATGGAACGGTCTAAATAAAGGTCAAGTCTCAGTAACATGCTGTCAGTTGCTGAGTCAATAAAATATGCACTAAATTTGCCTGCCATCTCACCAACATGTTAAACGTTCTCAGAAGCTTAATGGTCTATAAAATCTGTTTTGTCATTTAATTATATTTAATAATTACATTATACATTATTGTTAAGGTAATCAAATCTCTAGTCAAATATGAAACCATCATAAGTTGAAAACACATACTTTGAAAAGTAATGCCCAGTACTTGTTACCTACCAAATGTGTTTTCATGTCATAAAAGTATGATTACCTTTTTATGATACCACATTTAAAAAACACCCTGAAAACATGAACTATATACATTTCATATTTCTGTATGATATTTTTTTTTAATATTTTACCATTTTTTTACAGAGAGGAAGGGAGAGGGAGAGTTAGAAACATCGATGAGAGAGAAACACCGATCAGCTGCCTCCTGCACACTTCCCACTAGGAATGTGCCCACAACCAAGGTACATGCCCTTGACTGGAATCGAACCTGGGACCTTTCAGTCCGCAGGCTGACGCTCTTTCCACTGAGCCAAACCAGTTAGGGCTGTATGATATTTTCATCTGGGGTTTATATAAAATAATATCTATATTAATAAGTATCATTGGTAATTTTATGAAAATAAAAAGTAAAATCTAGTTTTGTTTGCAGGATGAATGAGTAATTTGCTTTATATTACACTAGGGGCCCAGTGCATGAATTCATGCACTTTGAAAGGAACTGTGGGCCACAAGGATGTGGTGGGCACAGGAGCAGGTCTCGGCCCATCCTCTGCACCCCCGCCGCCCCTTCCCACCGTGGTGCCTGGTCCCTGTCTGCCAGCAGCCCCGCTCCCACTGCCACCGCTGCCACCACTCCCACGTGCTTACAGCTCTGGCCCCGCTCGCACCCACTGATGGTGCGGAGTGATTGGGACTAGCACCAGACGCTGGTAGCAGGTGCGAGCAGAAGCTCCGGCACCGGCAGCAGGTGTGAGCGGGGCTGGCACTGGCAGCAGGTGTGAGCACCAGGCAGGACCACAGTGCTAAGGAGCAAAGGATTTTCAGTAACCATCAGAGGCTTGCCCTGATGACAGTGACCAGCTCCCCGCCTTGTTCTGGTGCCCGCCCTGCTCCACCATCCTGCCACGGCCAACGCCCGCCATGTTCTGTGCTCTGCCACCTGATGCTGACACCCGCTATTTTCCACGTGTGCCCCCTGGTGGTCAGCGCATGTCATAGTGACTGGTTGTTCGGCCGTTCCACCATTCGATCTATTTGCATATTAGGGTTTTATATATATAGGTGTTTTTAACTCTAGATATAGTAGAGTTAAATTATGCACTTTACAAAGTAAAATGTGGCTGTATCCTTCACAATTTTTCATAGATTTAAATGAAATGTCTAACTTTGGTTCAGTGATCTGTTTCTGAAATTATATCAAATTTAATACATAATATAAAACGTGCAATTTTTCAGATTGTCAAATCCTTATTACCACAGGATTACAAAATTGATAAACAGATTGAATCCCTAACCATTTATAAATAAGTAATATTAGTATTAATAAATAAATTGTTGTAGGGTTTATAGCAAATAATCTTGCAAAGCAAACACACTTGTGGGGCAAATATCACTTACCAGCTCTTCCTGAAGTTGGGAAATGAGTTCATCCTTCTCTTTCAGCTGCAGCTTCAGCATTGAGCAGTCATCTTTCATTATATCCTATAAAAACATCAAAGAGACAGCATAATAGGCTTAGCCCTTTCACTTTGCTCTTGATAAGGAAAGTCAGCTTCACACAGAGGGAGATAATTGCATCTGACTAATGAAAGTGAAATTTCCTCTACACTATGATAATTCATAATATTCTAAGTTGCAAAATAAGCTAATTCATCCAAAAATATTATGCTACAAATGATACACACGCCTGTGTTTTTTCCTTATATCAGTCCTTTTCTTTGGATGTCCATTTGTCCATTTTGTTCCCAATGACAGAAACCTAGGGGTCATCCTAAATTCTTTCACCCATTCCTGCGCATACATATCAGTGGAATAAAAATACCTACATTCTAAAAGAGAGACTTTACCATTTGTTCCCTTGCTGTAGTTAAATATTAGTTCTCAAACCAATGGTCATTTATAGTCTTTATCTTTAATGATTCCACTATAACATTTGTCCCTTTCACTAGCAATCTGTGGACATTTAATCTTCACTCTCTACATGTACACTCAGCCACATCTATGGCTTATCTTACCTGTCTTCCAAGCTCCAACCCATGAATAAAACTACTTACTGAGCATATATTCAGCCTTGTCCTATAGACATTTACACTTAATGTGTTGTAAGAATCCAGGGCAGGAGGAATAGGGAAACTGACGGGAAAGTTAAAACAAGGCCAAACACTGTGGGCAATTTGCAGCCAGCTTGTAACTAACAAGCCATTATCTTCCCCAGCCAAGGACACAGAGCAAATGTTTTAAAAAACCTCCCTAATGAGAGAATGCAGAAAGGAAGGGGGGAAAAGGAAAGGAAAAAGGGGCCATTTTACTTCCTAAGCAGAGAATCCAGCAGTCTCAATGCTTGGCAAGATAAAGTTGCTAGGTGCTTCTCATTATTTCTGGGAAGGCCACACAAAGTTAAAAAAAGGGGGGGGGGACCTTGAGACTTAATCTATACCAAACTATTCAACAAAAGAATGTTGAGACCTATACTCAGGAGGGTGTATGATGCCACAGACCCCAACCAAACTTGCTCTTCAGATTAGCTGAGAGCCCGTCTGTGCTTCATAAGCCAGATGCGTAGGTTTGCTTGCTTTGCTTTTGCTTTTTTTCAATAAAGATGCATGCCTTAATTGTTTTTAATAAATTGGCTTTTCACAATGCAGTCAGGGTCTCTCATATTAAACTCATTTGTATGAGAAGACAAGGATCGAGTTTGGGGACAGCCCTCTGCCACTGGCTCAGGGGGCTGTCCAGTGACACCTCTCTGGTGTTAGTGAGAGTTGCCTATAATAAATCTTTATTTCAACAACCTTTCCCCTACACCAAAGCTTTACTTCTACCTATTTCTCCCAGTATGTTTTCTAAAATGACCAGGAAGTCATCCTATGCTCTCAGTTCTTGTGCACTAGAAACCAAATCTGGTACCAAACTCTTTTTTAATTTTTTTATTTTTTATTGAGTTGATTGGGATGCCATTGGTTAATAAAATTATATAGGTTTCAGGTGTGTAATTCTATAATGTCATTTATACATTATATTATGTGTTCACCACCCCAAGTCAAGTCTCCTTCCATTACCATTTATCCCCCCTTTACATTCTTCTACCTCCCACCACCCTCTTTCAGTGTGGTAATCACTATATTGTTGTCTGTGTCAATGAGGTGTTTTTTTTTCTTTGTTAAATCCCCTCACCTTTTCACCCAATCCCCCAACCTTCTCCCCTCTGATTGGTACCAAACTCTTTAATATCTATTTCCTTGATGTTTCTTGGACAGGAGTTAACTTTCTCTAGGTACTCATTGCTTCTTACATGACTTACTGCATTAAGTCTCTAAACTGGTTCTCTATAACTTCCCCTATCTACCAGAAATATTTTCCTAAATGGGAATTAATTATATCACTTATTAATTTAACAGCAAATCACTTCCTCTTTCAGATGAAAAATAAAGTCAAAACTCTTTAGCATAGCATAGTGCCTTTCCTTGTCTGCTATTGCTTGTATCTGGGGTTTCAAACTTTTTAAGCTCCAACTTTCTTACCACCTTGGCTCACCCACAGAACAGAAACATAAAAATGTTCTTTCCTGTCTCCTTGCTTTACACATGCATGTCTCTAGATTACATTGTCACCGTCCCACTGCAACCCTTTATCCTCCTCATGCTGGGAGAGGCATTTCTGAAAGGGTTAACCCTTTTCGGTCCAACGTGGAGGCTGACTTGACAGACCAGGTGCTAGGATCAGGTCCAACATCGAGGCTGAGGTCGACACTGCAAACCGGTTCAACATTCAATCCCATCAATTAATTTGGACCAGACTGTTCGAATTCCAAAAATAAAATTGGACCGCGAAGGGTTAAAGGAAATAAAACGGGGCAGAGAAAAACTTATTGTGCTTAGCAGAAAGCTTGTAGCCTTGAGCACAGCATAGCTCAGATAACCAGAAGACACCTGGCATGGGAGGAACCAAGGATGGACCAGACCCTTACATCAGCAGAGCAGCTTACAGCCAGCAAAAATTAATAAAAACCTATCTCTCCCTGCTCTCTTCACTGATGCCTTTCTCGGTCTCAGCCCACCTGCACCCAGGTGTCGGGAATAAAATCTTTTTTGATACATTATGGCCTCACATAATAGGTGCTCAACCCCAGCCCACTCCGAACCTTTCATTTTCAAGCATTACTCCTTATTCCACTAGGAGCTTTCCCTTGCTGGATGACTTATGTATCCCTAGAGAGTAAGGACAAGATCCATACCATCTAAATCATACATCATCCCATCTAATAAAAGGGTAATATGCAAATTAACCATCACTCCATCACTAAGATGGCAGCACCCATAACCACAAGATGGCGGCACCCAGTCCTCTCAGACCCGCCTGAGTCCTCCAGTCCCGGGGGGCGGCCGCTGAGAACAGGCAGCGGGAGCAGCCTGGCAGAATGCTTGCTTCGTCACCGCGGCAAGTACAATAAAAGTTGGCTCCAAAACAGCCTGTTTCTTGGCGATCCCAGGCAGGAAGGGGCCCTGAGAGCTCTTCTGCTGGCTGCTCAGGAAACAGCGCTGATGCCACCAAGGGAGCCACTGGGGAGGAGGCCGTAACCACCACTGCGGAGCCAGAGTGGAGGATGCTGGGGAGCGGAAGCGGAGGAGGTAGGGCTGCCTCTGCTCCTGCAGGGTGGCAGGTGCACTGCAGTTCAGGAGCCTCTGGGAGTGGTGGTGCCAGGCCATCCAATGCTGCATCCAGTCCCTGAGGCATGCCCGCCAGTACTGCAACACCAACTGCCCGTAGCCATCTGCCAGAAGGTGAGGTGGATGTGCAGCCCACCAAGGGCTGCCAGCGCAAGACCAATGAAGATTGCAGAGTGTGCAAGCAGTTCATGGCCCTTTGCTGCTACCATGCCAAACACTGCCAAGAAAACACATGCTCCATTCCCTACTACCTCAACATCAAGCAGATGCTCCACCAGCAGAAGACACAGCACCACCGGCAGCACGCATAGCTCATGCACCAGCAGATGCCACCATCAACACCCACACCTCCCCTCCTTCAGCAGCACCCTGGCCCCTCACACTGCATCCCAGCACACCCTGGACACCACAGCCCCGACTCTGCCCCAGACCTCGTCTGTGAGCATGTCACTAGCCAGCTTTTCCAGCGTGGCCAGAACTCAGCCCCCCACCACAGTTTGCACTGGGAAGCCCACTAACCAGGTGCCAGCCCCACCGCCCCCTGCCCAGGCCCACCTGCAGCAGTGGAGGCGCCCAGCAGATTGCAAGTGAGGCACATCAGCAGCATCTGTACTGGGTGAGCACCAGCAACAGTATGCCCCTGAGGCACAATGACTCCTGAGAGCCAGATGGCCCCCATGGGCCTGAATGTGACCCAACCAAGTCAGTGGGCCTGTTATTCTGCCCCCTGAGCCCTGGCAGTGGCAGCTGGCACCGATCCCCCAGCAATAGCCAATGTGAAGCATGCCCAGACCCCTGATGTCTATGCAGACCCAGGGTGCAGTCACCTCAGAACATCTCTCCAGGTGCCCTGCAGGACCTGCTGTGGACCCTGAAGTCTCCCAGCTCCGCCAGCAGCAGCACATGCTCAACATCCTCAAATCAAACCCTCAGCTGATGGCAGCTCTCATCAAATAGCACACAGCCAAGCAAGTGGCCAGCCAGCCCGGCCTTCAGCTCTAGCCCAGCCTGCTGAATCTGAACGCCATGCAAGCCAGCGGGCCACCACCTGCTGTCCCTCTGCAGCAGCAAGCAATGGGAGACCTGAACCCCCAGGGCCAGGCCTTGAACATCATGAACCCGGGGCGCAACCCCAGCATGGCGAGTATGAACCACAGTACAGAGAGATGCCACGGAGCAACAGCGGCAGCAGCAGCAGCAACAACATTGTGAGAGGCATGTCCGACTGTCGGTTGTGATGGGGCATCGCCTTCCCCTGATCGCTGGGTCGCCTCTGGCCCCTAAGGGCTCCCGGACTGTGAGAGGGGACAGGCTGGGCTGAGGGACCCCCCCTCCAGTGCATGAATGTTCATGCACTGGGCCTCTAAGTTTCATATAATACTAATACTTCAAGTGTTAAGTTTTATATAATACTAATACTTCAAGTGTTATTTGCTTGCACACAGCCTCAATGGACTGGTTCTCTCCTACCCCCACCACCTAGTGGCTAGACTGCAGGCATAACTCCTTTGTTTTATTGAGTACCACTTTACTGAGCTGCACACACAGATGTGTTTTTACTAATTGAAGGCAACACTCTCCACCAGCAAAAATATTACGGGTTTATATATTTCAATATTCACTTTATTGCAGTGGCCTGGAACCAAACCTGCAATATCTCTGAGGTATGCCTTTATTTCATTAGCATATTATTAGCACCAAACATTATAACTGACACACATAATACACTCAAACCCACCTTTCCTTCTCATAAAGTTACCAAACAAACAGTATAAACATTAGGAGAATTCTCACTTTCTCTGAATCTGTTAACCT